TCAAGGCCACTCTTTTGACTGACAGACACATGCCCTCATTGATACATGCACTGATATACACTTACTGACAGATACACAGACATTGGCACACACATACATTCATTGGCACACACTGTTTAACCAACACACACTTTCACTGACAGACACACACTGACACAACCGCTCACTGACAGGCACACACTCTCAGATACACATAAAATGACATACACACACTGACACACTCACAGGCACACCCATTCTCACTGAAAGACACACACACTTTCACTCGCTCACAGACACACTGACAGCTACACTCAATCACAGTAAGGTGGACAGCCCCAGAACACAAGGCAAACAAGGTATTTGTCTGGGAGATTGGGGTGGCTTTTTTTGGTGCTCCCTCCACCCCACCCCCCCGAAAGTGCCGCCCTAGGCAAATGCCTTGTTTGCCTTGTGGTAAATACATCCCTGATGGTGTAAGAGAAAGTGTAGGTGTGGGGGGGACCTAAAGACCCTATAGAGCCAGGAAAACAAGTTTGTTTTCATGGCACTATAGTGGTCCTTTAACAGTCATGCGTCTTATATTACTTTGGGGGGTTTTAAGATTATAGCTAGTATTAGGGTTCATTCAATCTTAGGGCAGCATTGGGACATATATGTCTTGTTCTGTCTGAGATGGGTAAGAGTTACACTTCATTAATTTAGGTGCTCTCCTGACAGTGGCATGTCCGCAGAAGAGCTGTTAGGACAGAATTGTGTTGCTTTCTATCTCCTCAGCCCATCTTTCATAGTATTGATGCAGATACAAGCTGTCACCAAGGAGTACCAATTCCACAGATATTGGATAGACTTAGATATGTACATACATAGATAGACAGACAGACAGTATAAAAGGACACATATTTCCTACATCACCCAGCATGTGTTGTTTTTCACTCAGCAGCAATCAATACGATAACATGTATTCAATCAAAAACATCATTGTCTGATATGTACCTGGGATGCAGTGGAGAAATTCTAGGCCAAAGTTCTAGAAGTGGAGCAATCAGTTTGGAATATAATGGAATGTTTCTGTTGATTGCATCTCTTTTAGAATTTTGCAACAGAACTGCTCTTTATAAATAAAACCAATTATCTCTCTATGTATATATATCGTGCAGTCCCAGCTTCTGGGGAAACATGCCTTATATTCATCTAGATATGTCAGAGTTCCCAAATCTCATGTGCATTTAAATATATTGTCTTAGTGCTAAAGTAAAATGAAAAACTATATTAAACAATGGAAATGGCGAACCTCAATTCAGAGAAATTGTAAATGAAAGTAGATATTACTAAATGACCTTGTAACACAGGCAAAACTTTGCACTTTATAAATGAAACCAAAAAAAATGCTCAAATTCATTAATGGATCTCTTTGCTCACGGGAAATATTGTGGCTATACCGTAGGGAATTCTGGGCAATTTTGACTATATGCATTTATACCCAAGGCAGTTATTTACACTTTTGTGTTAGGTCCGTTCCGCACATGAGAGCATATAAAAAGGAAATAATGTAAAAAGAAACTGCTTCTGTATATCTGTTTTTTATGTTCTAAAGGGTAAACATCCCAGGAGGTTTCGAAACCTGAGATACACTGCATGTACTTTATTGCTCTTGCATTAAATTGTTTATTGACAATATGTTCCGTAGCCTCAAAGCACACCCCAACCTCAGTGACATTTTCTCATTTATAAACATTACAATGGAAGAAATAAAGGACAGAAACGTGTATATTTATTTTAAAAAATGTATTGTAATGATAGACAGGTTTACATGTTTAAGAAATTGTATGTAATAGATCTATATTGTTAAGAGTGCAAACATATGAACTCCAGATTCTTTTTAAAAAAAATATTGCTGAAAATCAACAATAGATGTGAGGTAAGATCTAAAAAAGATCCCACTGGAGTAAAATATTTTCTGTTTAAACACATGTTGGAGACTTTCGTAGGCTTGCTAGGGGCCTAATTTATTTAGATTAATGATCAGTTAGAATACAATTATTAATAGGTTAATTTAGCATAGGATTTAAGGGAAATCAGAATGGCCTCTATAAAGGATACAATTTCATCCATAGATTGGGCAGGATATATTGCTTATAAATGCATAGAGGACGTTATCTTAACTTAGAGAGGCACTCCAAGTACCATTACTTGGAGGCTCTGGAAGCCATCTCTCTTGTTTCTGCCAAATCATTGCCAAGTGGATTGACATAAAAAAAAACAAAGGTTTCACGGGATTTACACAAAGTCAGACCACTCTATCTAGGATATCTTAATGAAGAAGTTCACTTCCTCACGTTCTATCCCGAAAATTTTTTCATGCCATGCAACTATCGACCCCGAGCATGGGGTTATAGAAGGACTTGGCCACTGTTTTCTGTTTCAGCACCATGAAATTTATACAGACTCCCGGTAATGATACCAACGTGACCAAATCTTGGTGTACCTCATCGCATAAAGACTATTGTTGCATAATATGGGAAATATTTTCATCTATTATGGGTTATATACAGTATTGATGGATGGGTTGAGTTTTCAAAAGATTGCAAGTAATACAATAACAACAGTGACTAAACTGATGGATTAATTAGATGCGTTTGTTCCTGTATAAGGTTACGATGACTACATTTTATAAATCATTTGTCACCTCAGAAAAATCACTGTTCTATTAACTTGACTTATCGTTAAACTAAAACAGTCCAGTTGCACTAATTAAAGGAACTTTTGGCCTGAGAGTTTATTTTTTAGGCTGTAACCCATTGAATAAAAAGGTGCAAAAACAAATAAAATAATACTAATAAATAAATATGGTACTCACCTCTGAATTCCCTTTAGTTGCTGCAAAGAAAAGTAAGTGACTGGCCTTCCTATTATTCACTGGTCTTACAGAACATATAAAAAAAATAGGTCTAAGTACTAGGCCTTATGGTACCCAAGTGATAGTCTTTGTAGCTGTATCACTAATGTAGAAGTTCCACAGCGTAAGCAATACCATAATAACATTTTATAGCATATAGCTTATCTCACATGAGGACATAAATAACTGAACCAATCAATGAACCGGTTTCATTCTATCGCCAGCTGCTGTCATGAGAACTTTTCTTGTTGGCAGGGCCAGAGTAAGAGCACACTGGGCCTGGTGCTGACAATCATGATGGGCCTAATTACAGAATGTTATCGACCAAAACCACTAAAACAGTCATACCTACCAAGTGTCATGTATCTGATGGAGATGGTGTTGGAGGGAAACTCAAAGGATGCAGCTATAAGAAAACACATACTCTATGCTAATCCCTCTCTAATTTATGCTTTCATCTTTCAAGTAAATCCATACCCCCTAACAGCAGTATCCAGTGAAGCAGAAAGTCAATGAGCGGGTAAATGGTGGGCCACTGGCGAGAATCACATGACCAGAACTGCCAAAAGGGGCGAACATGCCCAAAAAGGGGGCATGTCTGTCCCAAGAATTGGAAGGCCAGCGTGGCATCGAAAAAGGAATAAAAAGTTGCAGAAAGTTGGCTTATTGCTGAAAAAGGGAGGAAAAGTCACCAAGAGTCTACAAGAGTATAGTAAGTTTTACACATAAGAAAATGGTGCCTGCACAAAAAATTGATGTAAATGAGAAAGCAAATTAGTCAACTTTTATAACTTTTGTTGTAGCTCCTGTCATTGTTTGATTGTGGTGAAGTGATTTAATTTGTAGCAAAGTGTGTACTCTATGTAATTTGATACCGTTTGTGCAATGTGTGAAGCACCTAGTATTGTGCAATCCCTGTAAAGTATCATTGTGTAGTCGCAGTAGACTGCAATAATTTGAGACAATATGTGTAGCTCCTGCCATTATGTAATCTTTGGATACTGATATTATTTGTATAAATGTGTTTAACTCCAGCCACTGTGTAGTATTGGTATTGTGATATTATTTGTGTCAGTGTGTCTAAATCCAGCCATTGTGTCATCTTGGTATACTGATATAATTTGAGACAATGTGTTTAGCTCCAGCTATTGTGTAATCTTAGTGATGTGATATTATTTGAGTCAATGTGTGGAACTATAGCCATCGTATAGTCATGGTTTAGTGATATAATATGTATAAATGTGTGTACGTCCAGCTATAATGTTGTCTCAGTGAAGTGTTATAATTTGTAGCGTCTGCCAATGTGTAGTATTGTTATATTGCTAGTATGTCACTGTGTGTAGCTCCTGCCATTGTGTAGTCTTGGTGCTATAATTTGTACCTCCTGTCTTGGTATAATGTTATTAAATCACAATTTCTAGATCCTGTCATTGTGTAGTCTTGGTATATTGATATTGTGTCACTGTGTATAGTTCCTGTCACTGTGTGGTCTTGGTATATTGATATTGTGTCACTTTGTGTAGTTACTGTCATTGTGCAGTCTTGGTATATTGATATTGTGTCACTGTGCATTCTTGGTATCTTGATATTTTGTCACTGTGTGTAGTTACTGTCACTGTGTAGTCTTGGTATTTTGATATTGCGTCACTGTGTGTAGTTACTGTCACTGTGTAGTCTTGGTATATTGATATTGTGTCACTGTGTGTAGTTCCTGTCACTGTGTAGTCTTGGTATATTGATATTGTGTCACTGTGTGTAGTTCCTTTCACTGTGTGGTCTTGGTATATTGATATTGTGTCACTGTGTGTAGTTCCTGTCACTGTGTGGTCTTGGTATATTGATATTGTGTCACTGTGTGTAGCTCCTGTCATTGTGTAGTCTTGGTATATTGATATTGTGTCACTGTGTGTAGTTCCTGTCACTGTGTGTGGTCTTGGTATATTGATATTGTGTCACTGTGTGTAGTTCCTGTCATTGTGAAGTCTTGGTATATTGATATTGTGTCACTGTGTAGTTACTGTCACTGTGTGGTCTTGGTATATTGATATTGTGTCACTGTGTGTAGTTCCTGTCACTGTGTAGTCTTGGTATATTGATATTGTGTCACTGTGTGTAGTTCCTGTCATTGTGTGGTCTTCGTATATTGATATTGTGTCACGGTGTGTAGCTCCTGGTCTTGGTATATTGATATTGTGTCACTGTGTGTAGTTCCTGTCACTGTGTAGTCTTGGTATATTGATATTGTGTCACTGTGTGTAGTTCCTGTCACTGTGTGGTCTTGGTATATTGATATTGTGTCACTGTGTGTAGTTCCTGTCACTGTGTGGTCTTGGTATATTGATATTGTGTCACAGTGTGTAGTTCCTGTCACTGTGTAGTCTTGGTATATTGATATTGTGTCACTGTGTGTAGTTCCTGTCACTGTGTAGTCTTGGTATATTGATATTGTGTCACTGTGTGTAGTTACTGTCATTGTGTAGTCTTGGTATATTGATATTGTGTCACTTTGTGTAGTTACTGTCATTGTGTAGTCTTGGTATATTGATATTGTGTCACTGTGTGTAGTTACTGTCACTGTGTGTAGTCTTGGTATATTGATATTGTGTCACTGTGTGTAGTTACTGTCATTGTGTGGTCTTGGTATATTGATATTGTGTCACTGTGTGTAGTTACTGTCATTGTGTGGTCTTGGTATATTGATATTGTGTCACTGTGTGTAGTTACTGTCACTGTGTAGTCTTGGTATATTGATATTGTGTCACTGTGTGTAGTTACTGTCACTGTGTGTAGTCTTGGTATATTGATATTGTGTCACTGTGTGCAGTTACTGTCATTGTGTAGTCTTGGTATATTGATATTGTGTCACTGTGTGTAGTTACTGTCACTGTGTAGTCTTGGTATATTGATATTGTGTCACTGTGTGTAGTTACTGTCATTGTGTAGTCTTGGTATATTGATATTGTGTCACTGTGTGCAGTTACTGTCATTGTGTAGTCTTGGTATATTGATATTGTGTCACTGTGTGTAGTTACTGTCATTGTGTGGTCTTGGTATATTGATATTGTGTCACTGTGTGTAGTTCCTGTCACTGTGTAGTCTTGGTATATTGATATTGTGTCACTGTGTGTAGTTCCTGTCACTGTGTGGTCTTGGTATATTGATATTGTGTCACTGTGTGTAGCTCCTGTCACTGTGTGTGGTCTTGGTATATTGATATTGTGTCACTGTGTGTAGTTCCTGTCATTGTGTGGTCTTGGTATATTGATATTGTGTCACTGTGTGTAGTTCCTGTCACTGTGTGTAGTCTTGGTATATTGATATTGTGTCACTGTGTGTAGTTCCTGTCACTGTGTGGTCTTGGTATATTGATATTGTGTCACTGTGTGTCAGTATGATTTATAATGAGATACTTTGTTGGTAATCCCTAGATAAGGAGGGGCTGTGATCCAGCTCTGCTTCGCGCTCTCAGCTTGTTTGTCCCTCCGGCCGCCCCGTCCCAGCTGCTCTCTCTCTGCTGCCACGTCACACGGCTCGGCCAAACATGGCGTTCACGCTGTACACCCTGCTCCAGGCCGCCCTGCTGTGTGTCAATGCGGTGGCCGTGCTGCACGAGGAGCGCTTCCTGAGCAAAAGTAAGGGCGGGGAGTAAAGGGTTAACACCTGGGAAACCAAGGGGAGGGCGTGGCCTGCATCCATAATGTACCTGTACAGAGCAGGAGGGCAGGAGAATATAATGTACCTGTACAGAGCATGAGGGTAGGAGAATATAATGTACCTGTACAGAGCATGAGGGTAGGAGAATATAATGTACCTGTACAGGGCAGTAAGATAGGAGAATATAATGTACCTGTACAGAGCAGGAGGGTATGAGAATATAATGTACCTGTACAGGGCAGTAAGATAGGAGAATATAATGTACCTGTACAGAGCAGGAGGGTAGGAGAATATAATGTACCTGTACAGAGCAGGAGGGTAGGAGAATATAATGTACCTGTACAGGGCAGTAAGATAGGAGAATATAATGTACCTGTACAGGGCAGTAAGATAGGAGAATATAATGTACCTGTACAGAGCAGGAGGGTATGAGAATATAATGTACCTGTACAGGGCAGTAAGATAGGAGAATATAATGTACCTGTACAGGGCAGTAAGATAGGAGAATATAATGTACCTGTACAGAGCAGGAGGGTAGGAGAATATAATGTACCTGTACAGAGCAGGAGGGTAGGAGAATATAATGTACCTGTACAGAGCAGGAGGATAGGAGAATATAATGTACCTGTACAGAGGAGGAGGGTAGGAGAATATAATGTACCTGTACAGAGCAGGAGGGTAGGAGAATATAATGTACCTGTACAGAGCAGGAGGGTAGGAGAATATAATGTACCTGTACAGAGTAGGAGGGTAGGAGAATATAATATACCTGTACAGAGCAGGAGGGTAGGAGAATATAATGTACCTGTACAGAGCAGGAGGGTAGGAGAATATAATGTACCTGTACAGAGCAGGAGGGTAGGAGAATATAATGTACCTGTACAGAGCAGGAGGGTAGGAGAATATAATGTACCTGTACAGAGCAGGAGGGTAGGAGAATATAATGTACCTGTACAGAGCAGGAGGGTAGGAGAATATAATGTACCTGTACAGAGCAGGAGGGTAGGAGAATATAATGTACCTGTACAGAGCAGGAGGGTAGGAGAATATAATGTACCTGTACAGGGCAGTAAGATAGGAGAATATAATGTACCTGTACAGAGCAGGAGGATAGGAGAATATAATGTACCTGTACAGGGCAGGAGGGTAGGAGAATATAATGTACCTGTACAGGGCAGGAGGGTATGAGAATATAATGTACCTGTACAGAGCAGGAGGGTAGGAGAATATAATGTACCTGTACAGGGCAGTAAGATAGGAGAATATAATGTACCTGTACAGAGCAGGAGGATAGGAGAATATAATGTACCTGTACAGGGCAGTAAGATAGGAGAATATAATGTACCTGTACAGAGCAGGAGGGTAGGAGAATATATTGTATCTGTACAGAGCAGGAGGGTAGGAGAATATAATGTACCTGTACAGAGCAGGAGGGTAGGAGAATATATTGTATCTGTACAGAGCAGGAGGGTAGGAGAATATAATGTATCTGTACAGGGCAGGAGGGTAGGAGAATATAATGTACCTGTACAGAGCAGGAGGGTAGGAGAATATAATGTACCTGTACAGGGCAGTAAGATAGGAGAATATAATGTACCTGTACAGAGCAGGAGGATAGGAGAATATAATGTACCTGTACAGGGCAGTAAGATAGGAGAATATAATGTACCTATACAGAGCAGGAGGGTAGGAGAATATATTGTATCTGTACAGAGCAGGAGGTCAGGAGAATATAATGTACCTGTACAGAGCAGGAGGGTAGGAGAATATAATGTACCTATACAGAGCAGGAGGGTAGGAGAATATATTGTATCTGTACAGAGCAGGAGGTCAGGAGAATATAATGTACCTGTACAGGGCAGGAGGGTAGGAGAATATAATGTACCTGTACAGGGCAGTAAGATAGGAGAATATAATGTACCTGTACAGAGCAGGAGGATAGGAGAATATAATGTACCTGTACAGGGCAGGAAGATAGGAGAATATAATGTACCTGTACAGAGCAGGAGGGTAGGAGAATATAATGTACCTGTACAGGGCAGTAAGATAGGAGAATATAATGTACCTGTACAGAGCAGGAGGATAGGAGAATATAATGTACCTGTACAGGGCAGGAGGGTAGGAGAATATAATGTACCTGTACAGAGCAAGAGGATAGGAGAATATAATGTACCTGTACAGAGCAGGAGGATAGGAGAATATAATGTACCTGTACAGGGCAGTAAGATAGGAGAATGTAATGTACATGTACAGAGCAGGAGGGTAGGAGAATATAATGTACCTGTACAGAGCAGGAGGATAGGAGAATATAATGTACCTGTACAGGGCAGTAAGATAGGAGAATGTAATGTACCTGTACAGAGCAGGAGGATAGGAGAATATAATGTACCTGTACAGGGCAGTAAGATAGGAGAATATAATGTACCTGTACAGAGCAGGAGGGTAGGAGAATATAATGTACCTGTACAGAGCAAGAGGATAGGAGAATATAATGTACCTGTACAGAGCAGGAGGATAGGAGAATATAATGTACCTGTACAGGGCAGTAAGATAGGAGAATATAATGTACCTGTACAGAGCAGGAGGGTAGGAGAATATATTGTATCTGTACAGAGCAGGAGGGTAGGAGAATATAATGTACCTGTACAGAGCAGGAGGGTAGGAGAATATATTGTATCTGTACAGAGCAGGAGGGTAGGAGAATATAATGTACCTGTACAGAGCAGGAGGGTAGGAGAATATAATGTACCTGTACAGAGCAGGAGGATAGGAGAATATAATGTACCTGTACAGAGGAGGAGGGTAGGAGAATATAATGTACCTGTACAGAGCAGGAGGGTAGGAGAATATAATGTACCTGTACAGAGCAGGAGGGTAGGAGAATATAATGTACCTGTACAGAGTAGGAGGGTAGGAGAATATAATATACCTGTACAGAGCAGGAGGGTAGGAGAATATAATGTACCTGTACAGAGCAGGAGGGTAGGAGAATATAATGTACCTGTACAGAGCAGGAGGGTAGGAGAATATAATGTACCTGTACAGAGCAGGAGGGTAGGAGAATATAATGTACCTGTACAGAGCAGGAGGGTAGGAGAATATAATGTACCTGTACAGAGCAGGAGGGTAGGAGAATATAATGTACCTGTACAGAGCAGGAGGGTAGGAGAATATAATGTACCTGTACAGAGCAGGAGGGTAGGAGAATATAATGTACCTGTACAGGGCAGTAAGATAGGAGAATATAATGTACCTGTACTGGGCAGGAGGGTAGGAGAATATAATGTACCTGTACAGAGCAGGAGGATAGGAGAATATAATGTACCTGTACAGAGCAGGAGGGTAGGAGAATATAATGTACCTGTACAGGGCAGTAAGATAGGAGAATATAATGTACCTGTACAGAGCAGGAGGATAGGAGAATATAATGTACCTGTACAGGGCAGGAGGGTAGGAAAGAAATGTACCTGTACAGAGCAGGAGGGTATAATATAATGTACCTACAGGGCAGTAAGATAGGAGAATATAAGAGCAGGAGTGTACCTGTATATATTGTACAGAGCAGGAGGATATACGTACCTGTACAGAGCAAGAGGATATATACCGTACCCAAAACAGAAAGCAGGAGTGGTAGGAGAATATAATGTACCTGTACAGGGCAGGAAGATAGGAGAATATAATGTACCTGTACAGAGCAGGAGGGTAGGAGAATATATTGTATCTGTACAGAGCAGGAGGGTAGGAGAATATAATGTACCTGTACAGAGCAGGAGGGTAGGAGAATATAATGTACCTGTACAGAGCAGGAGGGTAGGAGAATATAATGTACCTGTACAGAGCAGGAGGGTAGGAGAATATAATGTACCTGTACAGAGCAGGAGGGTAGGAGAATATAATGTACCTGTACAGAGCAGGAGGGTAGGAGAATATAATGTACCTGTACAGAGCAGGAGGGTAGGAGAATATAATGTACCTGTACAGAGCAGGAGGGTAGGAGAATATAATGTACCTGTACAGAGCAGGAGGGTAGGAGAATATAATGTACCTGTACAGGGCAGGAGGGTAGGAGAATATAATGTACCTGTGCAGGGCATGAGGGTAGGAGAATATAATGTACCTGTACTGGGCAGGAGGGTAGGAGAATATAATGTACCTGTACAGAGCAGGAGGATAGGAGAATATAATGTACCTGTACAGAGCAGGAGGGTAGGAGAATATAATGTACCTGTACAGGGCAGTAAGATAGGAGAATATAATGTACCTGTACAGAGCAGGAGGGTAGGAGAATATATTGTATCTGTACAGGGCAGGGGGATATGGGAATCTAAGGGATGGGAAGAAGGTCACTGGCGGAGCGGAGAGACCGAGAACAGGCATATCTATAAATCAGGGTAGAAATGTAAGAGGGGCTAGAGTTGGTTAGAACTTTATAGGTAAGGGTTATATATCATTGGATGGGTTGATATACTGGGTTAAACAGAGAATATAATATGGGCAATGGATGGGTTGGAAATGCTGGGTTACACAGAAAATAATGTGGGCATGAGATACATTAGGATATGCTAGGTTGCACAGAAAATATAATGCGGCACTGGATGGGTTGATATGCTTGGTTGCGCTGAGAATATAATGTGGCATTGGATGAGCTGACATGCTGGGTTGCACAGAAAATATAATGCGGCATTGGATGGGTTGACATGCTGGGTTGCACAGAGTATATAATGTGGCATTGGATTAGCTGACATGCTGGGTTGCGCTGAGAATATAATGCGGCATTGGATGGGTTGACAAGCTGGGTTGCGCTGAGAATATAATGCGGCATTGGATGGGTTGACAAGCTGGGTTGCGCTGAGAATATAATGCGGCATTGGAAGGGTTGACAAGCTGGGTTGCACAGAGAATATAATGTGGCATTGGATGAGCTGACATGCTGGGTTGCGCTGAGAATATAATGTGGCATTGGATGGGTTGATATGCTGGGTTGCGCTGAGAATATAATGTGGCATTGGATGGGTTGATATGCTGGATTGCATACGATGGGTTGATATGAGAAATTTCACAAAGAGAATAACTGTAATGTGTACATAGGGAAGTTCACACAGAGCATGTAATTTGTGAATGGAATTGATATGGTGGGTACCAGGGAATATAATGTATGCATGGGTTTGCTTTATATGGTGACTCACACAGGCATTTAATATGCCCCCCTGGAGAAGGTTCACTAAGTATAAAATACACACATTGGTTGGGTTGGCACACAGCTGTCATATCTCGCAACAATATATACATGAAGTAGGTTAAACTGCAATGTTTTCATTTCTTCAACCACCATCAATCAGTAGAGCTGCCTACAGGGTCATTCACTAAACCATGATTTTTAATCACAGTGGCAAACAGAACCTTACATAGCCTAGCTGTGGTTATTGCTGAGATAAAGAATTTTACAAAACTATAGTTATTAAGAGGCCAAATATGACGTAATTGTTTTATATTTGCAGTTGGATGGGGAGCAGATCACGGGATTGGAGGATTTGGAGATGAACCAGGAATCAAATCTCAGCTGATGAATCTTGTACGATCTGTACGAACAGTAATGCGAGGTAAAATGTGCATTGTTAGGAATTGACCAGGGAATTTTATATTTTGGGCTTAATAGCTTGGATTGAAGAATTCTTTAACACTACACTATTTTCCAATTCTGCTATTTTGTCCTAAAATTTGCAATTCCAAGTAATATTATATCGTTTACAATTCTGTTTTGTTTCTAGTATAAGTTTCTTAAGGAAATGTAACTACATGTTGTCTTTCAACTATTGCCTTCCCCTGCCATGTAATGAATTTTATGAGTTCAACCATCATTCAAGTAGTGGGTTGTAAAAAGGAATGTTTGAGCAATCTTCATTATTTGTTTAGCTTTCAAGAAAAAAAAGACCATAAGGAACAGGTATCGCAAGATTTTTATTTGAAGAGCACAAATGTAATCAAATTCTCATTAACTCCATGAGTGCCTTTAGAGTTGTTTTTTCCTGTACATACTGGAGGCCACTGCTTATGCTATATTTTGTTGTTGTTGTGCAGTTACAGATTACTAGGGCATTACTCGTTTGAGCATACATAGTCTAATGAACTGTCCAATCAGATGATGTTTCTCTATGAGAAGCATTTGATTGGGCCCTGGATAAACTGGCGTGATGACAGAATGGGTGTGGAATTGAAGTGAGAAGGACATTTCTTGCCATGGATTCATGCTAAGTTTCAATATTTTTAACCCCTTAAGGACACAGCTTCAGAAATAAAAGGGAATCATGACGCAATATTTCAGTCACGTGTCCTTAAGGGGTTAAAAGAATTCTAAATACAATAAGGGTTGGACAAGATCTGTAGGGCATTCTAAAGCTAGTGACACATTGACATTAAAAGGGTAATACTGACTCTTTAGTTTTACCTTATTTTGGATTTCATCAAGTAGTTACTGATCCTATTTACAAGGAGTGCTTCACAAAACCTAAAATCCACAAAGAATATTGTTGTTTGAAACGTAACACCCCAGTTTGTTTTTACACATTTAATGCAACTGGTTAATGACTAAACCGTGCTTTAGATTTTTTTTATCCATTGTGTCTGTGAATTTTGAAATATTGCATTTCCAAGGATGTTATTGCATCACAAATGCAAATCTCATAGAATTAGAAGTATTGACTAATTATCCCAAAATCTAGTGATCCCAGTGAACATTGTAACACACTGTGAGTGTCAGTTCATGATGTGCTAGGCATAATTGTGATCCTTTCTGGAGTTTTTTTGTTCATTATTTGCTTGCCACATCACCTACCCAGAGTGGGTTTTATAAGTTTTGCGGGATGTCAGTAGAGAGTCCTTTTTTTTTTGACAGAATGGCATTTATTATATATTAGTTTTATCGGTGCACTGCTCTTTTTTTAAAGTGATGTCCAGTGCTAAGGATGTGTGGAAAAGGTACCAGTACCGGTCAGAGTAGATGTAAAAACAAAAAAAATCAATCCATTTATTATGTGATTAATTAAATATGCCACAAAAGATCAAAGGAGTTGCAGCTCTAAAGTCTCACACATGGATATTTAGTTGAATACGTAATCTTTTATTTCATAACTTTTGTCTATTCTGGGGGGTGGGGGGAATCAAGTGTAAGTGTTTGTAAGAGCAAACAGTGAAATTTAACTTCTCTTTGCGATCCTCAAACCTGGGTGTAAAAAAATACATATAAATAGAAAAGTAAATACCTGGTTTTCAGAAATATATAACCACAATTTTTCCCTGTCAGATAAGACTGGAGAGCATAAAATAAAACATTAAACATTTTTTTATTAATAAAAATATATATTAAACACAAGAAAATATATTATGGGGTCCATTGGACCTCGAAACACCTGTCAAATAGTCACCACCTCATGTATCTAATCCCTTTAATAGGGCTAAGGCCTGCATGATTTCCATTTTTATTTATTTCTATGATATAAAAAGAGTTGAACATCTGTCTCACTTTTAGTGCTGTAGAAACATAGAATGTGATGGCAGATAAGAACCATTCGGTTCATCTGCATAAGTAATTGCCTCATGTATGCTATCTGTATAAATTCCCTGCCTTTTCATTTATCTGTTAGATGCTGATGGTTGTTAATCAGGAACCAAATGTACAACTTTAGAAGATAGTGTTTTGTTTCGAAATGTATAAAGAAGCTTTAAAATATTATGGTTGGGTGGTGTTATCTGATTGTCGGTTAAATCCTTGTATTTACAATACTGCATGTAATGTAAATAATGAAATGTAATCTAATTACATTGCATAACATTTGACAGTCCAGAAGAAAACTTGCAAAGTCTTTAATTATTTAGTGGGTGGAGTAGAAAGTTCTCTCTCCATACGGCTACCATTGTTATTATTTGTAATATCCATGTTTTACGTTACTGTAAGCACTAAAGACATCTCTTGTTTAAAGACAGTGTCAGGCTTCTTTAACAGTTAGTATGTTATTGAGGTGGTACAGTTAGTGTGCTACATTTTAGTGAGAAGTAAAACATTGTAACCATTGTAAAAAGGTGGCTGACTGGCTTTAGTGCATCACTCCCACGTGTCCCTATTTAGCTGGGAGAAACAGACAATATTTTGAGCTCAAATCCCTCTGTCACCTCTTTCTATCCAAACACTCTTCTTTTATAGAAACATAGACTGTGACTGCAGATAAGAACCATTCAGCCCATCTAGTCTGCCCAATTTTCTAAATACTTTCATTAGCCCCTGGCCTTATCTTATAGTTAGGATAGCCTTATGCCTATCCCACGCATTCTTAAACTCCTTGACTGTGTTAACCTCTACCACTTCAGCTGGAAGGCTATTCTATGCATCCACTACCCTCTCAGTAAAGTAATACTTCCTGATATTATTTTTAAACCTTTGTCTCTCTAATTTAAGACGATGTCCTCTTGTTGTGGTACTTTTTCTTCTTTTAAATATGGTATCCTCCTTTACTGTGTTGACTTCCTTTATGTATTTAAATGTTTCTATCGTATCCTCCCTGTCTCGTCTTTCCTCCAAGCTATACATGTTAAGATCCTTTAACCTTTCCTTGTAAGTTTTACCCTGCAATCCATGAACCAGTTTAGTAGCCCTTCTCTCAACTCTCTCTAAAGTATCAATATCCTTCTGGAGATATGATCTGCGTACAATACTCCAAGTGAGGTCTCACCAGTGTTCTGTACAGTGGCATGAGCACTTCCCTCTTTCTACTGCTAATACCTCTCTCTGTACAACCAAGTATTCTGCTAGCATTTCCTGCTGTTCTATTACATTGTTTGCCTACTTTTAAGTATTCTGAAATAATTACCCCTAAATCCCTTTCCTCGGATGTTGAGGTTAGAACTCTATCAAATATTCTGTACTCTGCCCATGGGTTTTTACGTCCAAGATGCATTAACTTGCACTTATCCACATTAAATGTCAGTTGCCACAATTCTGACCATTTTTCTAGTTTACCTAAATCATTTGCCATTTGGCTTATCCCTCCTGGAACATCAACCCCGTTACATATCTTAGTATCATCAGCAAAATGGCATACCTTTTAAAAGAGAGCAATTTTGTCTATTAAGACCTAACTCCTGGTCTCAATGAGTGTAGCATTTACCCTAAAGAAAAGCTTAACGCATTTGGTGCCTAGACACGTATGAAACTCCTTGTGTTTGTTGTAAAAAATTTTTATTTCTATATTTTTCTAACACAAAGATATTTGAAATTGGGTTCTTTGTGCTGTTCTTGTGCATTTACTTCCCACTTTTATTCTTAGTCTTGCCCTACATGTTCTTCTTGACATGTTCACTTTAACTATAATAAACCATTTAGCTGGATTTCTACATATGCGTCCATGCTACAATACTGAAGGAAAGTGCACCAATGTTGCTTAAAACGCAAATATAGCAGTTGACCCCTTTCTACAGGGATCACCTTTAAAATTCAGCCAGGGTCCTCTTTCTTCCAAGACAAGTATGCTTGTGGAGCAACAATTTCAGTCTGTGGGGTGGAGGGGTCAAGACCTTCCAGCTGTATACTTTATATGTTTAATAAATGTAAACATTTATCTTAACTGGTTGTCCTTTTATTTTTTACAGTGCCACTAATTGTAGTCAACTCTGTAACCATCGTGCTTCTGTTGCTGTTTGGCTAAACAATTAATTGTGGACCCGATGAAGGAACATCAACGGAAGAACAAAAAAAAAAAAGCTATAAGATAGAAACATCAGCTTTTAAAATAATAGCGGTTCCTTAATGGGGAGTGGGAGGGAGGCCTTAAATATGGATGTGTTGATATGTATGGAGGTACCTATTGATGCTATGTACTCTTAACGAAGGGCAACGTCACAACTATATGGAATGCTCAGGCTATCATCATCTTGGTTCAATGACCCACCAACAGAAAGACCAAACTATACATTCTGATGAATCCCGGACAGTTCTCTGTTGTTGAGCTGTAATAAACAATGGGTGTTATGATTTTGAACATGTACAATAAGATTGTGTCAAGCACTCCATTGTTTCACAAGTGAGAGCCTGAATAAAATACAGATCCATGACATACCCTGGTGCATTGATTTTCATAGGGACCAAATATGAACTGTAAACTTGACTATCTGGAGACTTTCCTCTTAGACCACATTATTTCTTCAAAATGTGTATGTTAAGCTCTGCCATTCTGTATTTTTAAATTCGTTTTTTCCAGATATTTGGGGGAATCAAATAACCACTCAGGATTAGTCGGTGTTGCTTCATTAACCCCTTAAGGACACATGACATGTGTGACATGTCTTGATTCCCTTTTATTCCAGAAGTTTGGTCCTTAAGGGGTTAATTCTTGTTGGATAAAATCATGTTTACAGCCCACTCTCGTGTATTGTAATATAATGTACAATTTTCTTACTCTATGATGTTGTATTAGCAGTTTTTTTCCTTCCTAAACAATAAATTCTGCTTTTATGTGCAAACTCATAATGCTATTTTTAGTGAATTTAAGATTCCACTTTGTATAGCAGTAGCTGACCTTTGCAAGTTTTATTTCAGAACGGGATATTCGCTTTATTAACCTACCTGTGTTTATGTAAATTACAAAAAGTGATCTTGAAACACAGTTGTATAATTTTGATCAGGAGATTTAGTTTTAAAGGATTAGTTATGAATAATAGCATAGTATAGGTGGGTGCCTACAAAGAATTGTAGTGAAATCACTTATGGAAATGTTATTCTCACTCCTCATAAAATAACATATATGATCTGTATACAAATTCATGATAAAGTGTATATATAGAAACACATCTCCAACAATGTTTGCATCAGACAGCGGACAGTGTTTTTGTTTTGTATTTTATTATTATATGTGAATATAAAATCTGTGCCGTGGAATATTGTTTTTACTTACATAATATAGGCTAGTTTTTTTTATATAGAATATAAAGGGGTTGAATGTAATGTGGAGCTAATATATAAATCAAATAATGCAGAAAAAATATATAACAAGCTAGTATCTAAATGCTAATAGCTTGAAACACTGCACATAATGAGATATTGGTAATTGTGTAAAGGAGCTAGCTGCACCCACAGCACACGTGGCGTTAGCAGTCCTGAACTCATGCAAGGGGAAGCTAGCTATCCACCTCCTAATCTCCCTCCACTGCAAGCAGTTATTTATTTATAAAAAACAAAACAAAAAAAACTTCTGCTTTCCTCCCCTCGCCAGCCTGGGGCACGCACATGCGCTCTGTGCTGCCAATAGATCCAATCACAGGCTTTTCTATAAGTAGCCTATGATTGCGCTGTGCAGGCCCCTGTGACATTGGAGGTGGCGGGAAAAGTCAGTGCCAGGAGTTTCACCCAGGTTGGTGTATTCCAGGTAAGTAAAAACATTTTTTTTTTTTTTTTTCCAAGACCTCCATAGTGCCCAACACTGTATATAACACCGGAACAGAACCCCTCCTCTAAATGGTTAATGTAACCCTTTAAGAATGTATTCTGCACATTTGTAAGTTTGTTTTTTTTTGTTGTTGTTTTTGTTGCACTTAATTTTCTAAATGCACATTTATCAAAGCTATTTTGAAACGTAACAATTAAATCTCTAGATGCAGTATTTGAAACTTTGGCTGGTTTTGGTACTGTGAATATGGCAACCAACTGTTTCAAGTCTGACTATTTAATTATTACAATGTTACATACTACCCAACATTTCAAATGGACAGAGGGACAATTTAATTTTAGGAGCGTGAGTGGGGCAGTGTGACAGGGCTATTTTGAGAAAATTAATTATACAACTAAAATGTAATTTAAAACAAGAACTATGTATCATATTTATAAAGGCTGATTTCTAAACACATTTATCGTTGTTTAACCCCTTAAGGACCAAACTTCTGGAATAAAAGGGAATCATGACATGTCATGTGTCCTTAACGCCGTTACGGCGTTCTATGCCGTCCCGGCTTTAAAGGGCTTTAAAGCCATTGTGGCGGAATAGAACACCGTAACGGCTTTCAGCCCCAGTAGGTAAGATTTACTTACCTCCGCCGCGATCCTCTTCTGGAGGGCTGCCTGGGCTGTCAGTATGGCAAATGAGGCCCCCTCAAAGAGCGATCACATGGGCCCCTTATAGCTGGCTGTGGATCTGCCAGCAGGGGGGCTGTCTGAAATGTCACAGTCCCCCTGCTGGTGTGTAGTGTAAAAAAAAATCATTAGACATGTTTAAAAAAAAATTATATATATATATATATATATATATATATATATATATATATATATATATTTATATATTTGTGTTCGGGGCAAATAGCCGTATATGGAGTAAGGTCCAGCATAAGCGTAGGATAGTATAAAGGGAGCAAGTCGGTTGTGGTGTGCCGAGACCGACGATACGGTAGGCCTGTAAATAAAGAGGGCCCACCAAGGAGTAAGAAAGTAAAGTAAATGGAAAGAAAAGAGAAAGTGTTGAAATGAGGAGTGGGTGGGAGGGTCATTCTGATGCTGACCTCAAGCGATATGAGTCAGGTAAGGGGTGTCCCTTATATAGGGGAGTGAATTAATTTAAGCCCCTCCCACAAATACAGGCCAAATGGCCTTAAAACTTGTGTTCGGGGCAAATAGCCGTATATGGAGTAAGGTTCCAGCATAAGCGTAGGATAGTATAAAGGGAGCAAGTCGGTTGTGGTGTGCCGAGACCGACGATACGGTAGGCCTGTAAATAAAGAGGGCAAAAAGAATAATCAAAGATTTAATACAGTCAACAATATATACAAATTAACCAGACATTTCCTTAAATGCATTACGGTATTTAATTCTTTGAAGGATTTTTGAAGGTAGGAATCTAGGACCGCAACGTCATTCTAAGTGTATTTTAATATTAGTATAAGAACATATATTAAAATACACTTAGAATGATGTTACATATATAATGTGTATATATATGCACATATATTATATATATATATATATATATATATATATATAATTACTATAATAAATAAAAATTTTGTTTCAATATTTTATTTATTTAATATAAATTATATATTCATATGTAATTTCATTCTAACAGTATTTTGTTATTAATATATATACATTGGTAACAAAATACACTTAGAATGACATTCTATATCTATCTATATGTAAAATACAAATAACCGCAAATATATATATATATATATATATATATATATAGATATAATTACATAAAAGATTACATTAGTATACACGTAGAATTTAAATACCTATAAATGCATATATATTAAAATTTTACGTGTACATTTAAGTAATCTTTTTACATAATTATGTGATTTGATTAATTAAAATTTGATTGACATGCCTGACAACACAGGGAGAAAGTGCAGAGAATTTAATTCGCAAGCACTATATTTGACCATGTAACTCTCTAAGACACCGTAAAACCTGTACATAGAGGGTACTGTTTTACTCAGGAGATGTCGCTGAACTCAAATATTAGTGTTTCAAAATGATAAATTGTATTACAACGATATTTTAAGTAAAAGTGACATTTTTTGCATTTTTTTTTTACAAACTAACGGCACTTTTATGGACTATATTATTGTTGCAATATGTTTTACAACACTAATATTTGTGTTTAGTGAAGTCTCCCGAGAATAACAGTACCCCCATGTACAGGTTTTATGGTGTTTTGGAAAGTTAGAGTCACATATAAGGCTTGCATTTCATTTTTTTTTTTACATTGAAATTTGCCACATTGGTTATGTTGCCTTTGAGAGCCTATGGTAGCCCAGGAATAAGAATTACCCCCATGATGGCATACCATTTGCAAAAGTAGACAACCCGAGGTATTGCAAGTGGGGTATGTCCAGTCTTTCTTAGTAGCCACTTAGTCACAAACACTGGCCAAATATTAGTTTATTGCTTTTTTTTCACACAAAAACAAATATGAACACTAACTTTGGCCAGTGTTTGTGACTAAGTGGCTACTAAAAAAGACTAAAAATACCCCACTTTCAATACCTTGGCTTGTCTACTTTTTCAAATGGTATGCCATTATGGGGGTAATTCTCATTCCTGGGCTACCAATGTAAAATTACTAATCTGACAAATTTCTATTTCAAAATGGAACGTTCTATATTTTACCCTGTAACTTTCCAAAACACCATAAAACCTGTTTATGGGGGGTAGTATTGTACTCGTGAGACATCGCTGATTACAATTATGTGCATTTTTTTTTTTTGCAGTAAAACCTAACAGTATTATGACATTAACAGCTAAAATGTCAGACGGAAATACAATTTTTTTTTTAAAAGAAATCTTATTTTCTCAAATTTTTCATAATAAATTATGTTCCATATATGAATAGTTAATGATAAATTAAAGCCCTGTTTCTCCTGAACAAAATGATATATAATAAGTGTGGGTGCACTTAATGTGACAGCGGTGAATTACAGGTGAACAGACTTAGCGCAAATTCCAATTTTTGTTTACGTTTTGATCAGAACGTGTACTATTGACTCCGTCCTGAAGGGGTTAAAGACTCATAAATGTGGATCTCTGGTATAAACTCAGACACGTCAACAGTGGCTAGTAACTATTGTGACTGTGGGCCGCCGGCATACATTTACAACCAGCGCATGGCCGCATCAGCTGGGGCCCGCAGTCGTAAGCTAATTGGCAGGAGGGGAGTTATGTTTTGTGCTGCTCCCCTCCTGCCGCTGTATGTAGCGCGGCTAAGTTTTCTGACAGGAAGTTCTCATTGAGAGAGCCCTTCATGTCAGATGGGGACTGCGGCCAACAGGTACAGGGGGGGTGGGAGGAAGAGAAATGGAGGGGCTGCAGGAGAATGGGGGAGAGAGAAAGGGAGGGGCTGCAGGGGAATGGGGGAGGGGAAGGG